TTCACGTCGACAGTTGGACAACCGCCGACTTGACGGAGGAGATGTCCAGAGAAGAACTCATAGCTGCGCGAACAAGACAGGTAGCCTACGGTTTGGAAGACAACCTTATGACAGCGGCGGATCGTCTGGCAGTGGAAAGGGACAAGGGTAAAGAGAGATGGGATAAGAACGTGCGAATCAGGAAAGAGAGGGTGAGCGTAGGAGATATGGTCCTTCTCTACGATGCAGCGCTGGAAAGGACCTGGACCGGAAAGCTTGCCAATAGATGGATGGGACCTTACAGAGTGGTTGAGGCACTTGACTGGGGTGCATATATGATAGCAGAACTAGACGGATCTAAGTGGAAGGACCCAGTGGCGGGGGCTAGGTTAAAGCTGTTTAGGCCCAGACCCACGCCCGCTTTATCACTAACCAGCCCGAAAGGGAAAGAGAAAGTCATGATGGAGGATGGAGCGCCCTTGAGGCGATTCGAGCCAGGAGAGAGTTCCAAGAAAAGGAAAAAAATAGAGAAGAGAAAGGTCAAAGGGTTAGCTTTAGGAAAAAATAAGAGATGGTTATTCGTGCTCAAGCGAGCTAGACGGAGAGTTCGAGTTAGACGTACTTGAGGGTCGACACCCTTCTCAGGGCAAAGACAGAAGAAAAAGAGGATCGTGCCGGGGCCAAAACCCAGAAGGAACAGGAGAGTCAAGAAGCATCTTCTTAACCCCAGAACTCATAACAAACTGAAACATAAGACAATTGAACGCCGATGTGGGCGACCTTTACGGGCCGTCCTCCTGAAACTCGTCCGCTTCGTCTGACGTAAGTTGCTAGGCCTCGACGGGGGCGTCGAGAAGTGGTCCGGGCTAACTGTCAGGCGGCCACAAGCAGTGAGCCGCCTGAGATCTGCCGTTTTGGGACTTAGGCTCAGGGACAAAACCGTGTTTTGATGGTAGTCACATATGACCAGGCAGCAAAAATTAGGGGAACTCAGGGCAGTCCTGATTTTGGGCGCACTAAGCCTTATGAGTAACCCTCAATGATGGGGAGATGGGTCGCCGCACTCGGCATGTCTAGGGACTGACATTTCCGACCGTTAAGAGGGTTAGACCCAGATTGGCCTGCCGCGGAGAGGCATCAAGGGAGTTGACCTCGCTGCAACGTTTTTGCAGCATACGACCGGGGCGAAATGAAGCCTCAAATTTTTGTCTAGTTTAGTACCGTAATTAAAGATGGGAAGAGGGATAAGACCGGTAGCGGAGAAGGGAAAAACATAATATACCTTAATTTCTTTATTTTTCAAGGCATTAAATTCTAGGGGGAATACCCTTGTTATTTTATTTTCCCGACAATTAAATTAAAAACATAGAAAAATATTAAAAATGGTAAAAGAGAAAAGAAACAAAAGGAATTCGGCCATTTATTTAAATTTTCTCGGAATTGAGTTTTATGGAACTTACGGTTAATTTACTATTTCCGACAACAGAATTAAGGAAAAGGAAGAATGATTAAAAACGATAAAAGGGAACTAAAACGACTGATTATTTTAATATTTAACATTTTCTGATCAATTGCGGCCTTGTTGATTTCAACCGAGATTTTTCTATTTATTCTTCTTTTTATCTAAACGGATTTTCCCTGTTTGATTATTCCCCGCCAATTCTAATCGACATTAACTATTTATTATCCCTCCCTGACTCTGACCTGATTTACCCAACATGTTACCCTTGTTATAACCTTCTTATATTAATGTGTGAGCGGGAGATTGAGTGTTGTGAGGTGCTGAGTACTCGTCGCGGGTTACTACATTGGACTGCTAACCGGTGGAGGTATGACAACGGCCAGCGGTAAGGGTTTCATGGAAACGACAACCTGACAGCAACGGAACAGGCTTCTGCAGTTCGAAACAATTATTGCAGGTTCAGTACTGGTTCGACACTGGCATGGTACTGAGACAACATACTGCAGCCTGACCCATTATTTCCGTACGATAACTGGTTCGGTATTGGTGCGGCACACGTGCAACTTGGTACGGTACTTAGTCTAGCGGCATGGTCATGGTGGTGCGATCACTGGCTCGGTATTCCGACTGTTTGCCCCTGTTTGGTACTGTTAATCTGGTATGTACACTGGCTTGGTACGTTTTTAGTTACTTGGTACGGTATCAGGTCTGGCTCTGGCCGGGATTACCGAAGCGCACTCCAATTCAATGTTATCACTTTGATACAGATTGGCTCCACGGAAGCCAGGTCACGGCGGGAAGGTCGCTGGTTCGATGTTGATATGGTTCGCTGCAGCCTGAAACCATTATTATATTTGTRTGCGGGCCAGGATGGAATCTGCCTGAAACTATCTGTCTGCTTATGGCAATTGGACCAACGATGCGAGCTGCATGGTCACAATGGAAATTTGCCTGGTTAGAACACCCTATTTAGCGGTACTGATTTCCGACTGAGACATGTGGGCCACGACATTGAATCTGGTTGCTGTGACTTACTGGGTTCGACGGATTGAGATTGGGGAAAGTCGGTACCATCGTGCCTACAGTGACTTTATTGGGTCTACCGGCCCAAATATTGGTGCCACTGTGCCTAATGTGCCGATAATCGGGTCTGCTCGCACTGGCACTGAGCCTACTGGTTCAAAATTGGCCTATTCGGCCTGACTCGACCAGTACTGCGGGGGTCTACATGGGTCCTTCACTGGAACAGCGGCAAAGTCAGCTTCCCTAGCGGCCGACAGCCTCTGGCGCTGGAGGATATAGCCAAGGCCAAAACTCTGTCTAAGGGGAGGCGAGCCCGGCGTACGCAGCCCATCTTTGTGACTGTTTCAAACAGCTCGATTCAGACAGGCGAGGTTTTCGAAGGGAAGGGGGAGCGCGCGTACGAGACGTGCACAGTGCACAGGGAATCATGATGGGTACACGCTGCGCGCTGCCGTAACAGACCAGGAGTCCGCGGCTCAGGAGTTGGTGTTCGTTCGTTCCCGCTCATACGAACGTATAGCTGCCGTCAGGCGCGGGCCATGGGCAAGCTGGAATTTTAGTCGTGATCAGCGCGAACATGATGGAGTGAAACAGGCCGGTGTGAACAAACTGGTTTTTTTCGGATGGAAGCCGGACATACTTGAGAGGTAAGAAAAGCAGAGGGCCACGCTCCTGGGCTGGGTTAAGTGTTCTTTAAGTTAGAGCACCCACCGCTGGCGCTACCAGGTGCGGGCGAGAAGGAATCAGCCAGCGAGTTGGGCCATGGGAAAGAGTGAGGGAGTGCTAACTAGAGAAAGAGCAAGGGAACAGAAGAGTAAGCGTGAGAGTTGAAGTGATGGGCTGCATGCTGGGCCCTGTTCAGTCGAATGCATCCGGCGCTGATCGAGGCTACGTGCCTTCGAGATCGAGCCAGCACATGCGAGGAGCAGTGGTGCGTGTTTGGACGTGGGGAAATGAGAGAGAGTAAGTGAAAAAGGGAGTGGGAGAGAAAAGACGGGAAAATAAGACAGCCACGTCGATGCTCTTTGCCCTGGTATTGAGATCGAGCTCGCAGCGTGGCGAAGCGGGCTGGACGGGACAAGTGTGTGGGAACGAGTGCGCGAGTGAGTGAGTAATCGTTTGTGAGTGAAGGCTGGAGAGTGTGTGAGAGGCAAGAGGGAGAACGAGGTGGATGGAAAGAGGTCATCGAACGCATCCGGAACCAGCTACAGTCATGCTCCTAATTATTTGAGGAGAAGTTTGCCCATGTATCTGGACGACATTATTCGCTAAACGGATGGTGCGCGCTCAGGATATAAGGAGAAACATCAGCACTATTTCGGCGCATAATCCTGCAGGGCCGAGAGTTCCAAGAGGTAGAAGGGAATGGAAGAGCGGAATACTGACGCGGTGACCTATGAAAATGTTGGCATCACTGTTAAATCCCTCCCTGAATGGCTTGCCTGGCCATGATCGTGCGAGCCATTGTGAACCTGACTCTTTCCTGTGAAGTGCCTTTAAGCAATATGAGACGTAAGAACCCCGAGCTATACTGATGTCAACGTCCAATCCATCTTTATGAGGATCTTTCGGTGAAACCAAAGGCATCGAGTTCGGGTCATGGAGTTTGAATGTAAGGGGTCTCCAGTTCATGGCAGCCGCTGATCTCATCCAGAGACAGCAGATGAGCCGCGACCCTTTCATCAAGCGATGAACTGAAAGGGATCGTATAAACTCACAAGCTCGGACACTCTCAGCCACACAATCATGGGGCTCGAATATACGTTGTGAAGGGGTCAGGCCAGGCTTTAGGGCCTAATTCGGTCAGTGCTGGGTGTTTTAGGAGAAGGAAAAGAACAGCTGGCTGCCCTGTCTTCATACTGATTGGATCAACCTATTATTTAACTATCTGTCACACTTCATAGGATAAACTCTCCCTCCTATCCAATCTGCCTTGGCAGGGGTACAGCTGTGAGGACAGCAAAGTGTGTGTGAGAGAGAGAGAGAGAGAGAGAGAGAGAGAGAGAGAGAGAGAGAGAGAGAGAGACTGAGGAAGAGAGAGACATCGTACTGAGTGAGAGAGAGAGAGAGAGAGACTGAGGAAGAGAGAGACAGCGTACTGAGTGAGAGGAAGAGAGAGAGCGGACTGAGTGAGAGGGAGAGACAGCAGACTGAGTGAAAGATCAACCCCTGCTGCTGGCAGGAGATCTTCATTTCCGCCCACTCTCTACAAATTAAACCTATTAAATGGTCCGTTGACTCTCCAAAGAGACGACTTGTTGATTGCCCTGTTGGCCATGTTATGATCTGATAACGGTAGATTAAACCGCTTCTGTGGGCAGGGGAAATAGGAGATAATAACTCCCAACACCCTATCTGCCGCTGAGGACCTCGGAAGCGGGCGCGCCGAGTGACAGGCGGCTTTGCCCCTGGCTACAGCGAGCGGTAGGAGCCCCTCCCCGAGTTTCCTAACAACGTGACTTCTCTCTCTACAAGGAGTATGCCACCGATAGATGTCCTGATTTCAAGGACTATCCCTAGTCGAAGAAGAATGAGGCCGTGGCTGAGGAAGTGAAGGAGATACGGGACATGGTGAAGGGATTGACTAGACAGGTTACAGAGATTGTGACCACTACAGGGGCCACAGCCTACCGGGACAAACCTGGAGGGCCCTATTCACTTCGCTGGGACCGTAGGAACAACGATTCCTGGATGAGTGTCGAGGATAGAAATCCTCGAACGCTGACTGATTATCGTACGAGGGGAAGAGGGAGAGACGATGAGCCATGGCGACGTAGGGATGATGAGATAGACCGAGACTGCAGAGATCGCGAGCCGTTTGCGCGAGCAAGGAGGCTGGATGATTACCCGCGAAGCCCTCGCTATGAGGCCGATCGGGGTAGAGGCGACTCCCGTGGTCGATGGGAGACAGATCAGGGCCGACGAGATGGATATAGGGACGACAGATACGAGAGATCGGACCGAGATGGATATAGGGACGACAGATACGAGAGATCGGACCGAGATGGATATAGGGACGACAGATACGAGAGATCGGACCGAGACGGATATAGGGACGATAGATACGAGAGGTCGGGTCGAGATGGCTACAAAGGTGGTAGGTATGAAAGAGAAGATCGGGACTGGGAACGACGAGATGGGTCGAGCGGACGGTTTAAGCGCGGGGGAGATGCGGAAGAGCAGCGCGACGAGTTGCGGGGGTGGTACAACCGAGGGGACCGACGCGATGAGTCACGAGGGCGATATGACTCAGGGGACCGCCGGAATGATTCGCGAGTGGGGTATGAGCAAGGAGGGTCTGGAGGAGACCGCCGTAACGATTCGCGCGGTCGGAATGAGAGAGGGGGATATGGCGTCTCATCAGAACCATATCCCAAGTCGCCTGACCCCAAGGCAGCCAGGAGTTCGATCTCTAGAAGCGCAGACGATARGCCATCTACTCCCAGGAACTCATGCGTCTACTGTAGAGGAGAATATCATATCAAGAGGGATTGCCCGGACCTCAAACGGGCAATAGGTGAGGGACTTGTCGTGCTTGACGACCGCAAGTACGTCAAGTGGGCAGATGGTCTGGGAGATGTATCGATGTTCCCTTCGATGAAGGAGAATGTCGAAGCAAGGAGAGTAAAGCCGAGTAAAGAAAAGGAGCCGGTAAGGAGCCAGAGCATCAAGATAACCTTTGGGGGGGATATGGCGACCACACCCATAAGGGTGGCAGCCACCAAGTCGGCGAGAGGGTCTACATCGAAGAAGACTGACACGGATTACGTGATGGCGGAGAAGGACGGGCAGCGGGTCGATGGAGAGGAGGTTATCCTTTCGCCGCGAAAGAGGGGAGTGAAGAAGTTCTTAATGAAGAGTTCGATGGACGAGATTGACACAGTCGAGCCACTGAGGCGGGCCCTTCGGCAACCTATGCCGTGCTCTATTCTGGAGTACATGGCGGCATCGAAGCCGGCTCGTGATGAGTTACAGATGATTACGCGGAAGACTCGCATACCTCTATCGGAGGAGGGTCAGGGGGCCCCTAAGGCGGAAGCTTCTACAGTAGCAGTAACGGGGGTGACTGCCAGAGCGGATCGCATGGCGACAGTCCTTCTCGATGGAATGGAAGGTGTGCCTCCAGACAAGTTTTATATACTTGGTAGCGGAGCCGTGGAGACGATTATAAACGATGGAGCGGTACTCGATGCTGTGATCGATAACGACAGTGAGGCTGTCATCATAGACAAGGACCTGGCAGTACAGGTTGGACTGGGCCTCGATAGGTCATACCTATTCGAGATTGAGACGGCTGATGGGAGAAAGCAACAGATCACTGGGGTTTGTCACAAGGCAGCCATAGAGGTCCAAGGGGTACGAGTGACCCTGCCTGTCTTTGC